TTAAGAGTTTGTTTGTTCGATGAAAAAATAATCTACGTTTGTTTGTATGTATGTGGTCTGATTGTTGTAAATTTTTAGTAATTTTTTTCTCTCTCATCCCTTTATATTTTGTATGGAGCCTCACTCTCTAATCTATTGCCACATGTTCTCTTCAATCTTTTGTAGTGGTTGTTGAGGGGAAGAAGGGATTAGACTTTCACCCTGTTGCCTCTTCAACAAGATTTAGTACCAACTTAATACAATCTGCCATCCACAAATCATGTTAAGATACTCATGATTTTTTAGATGAGGAGATTCTGAGTTGGCGTCTACTTTTTCTTTCACTATTACCGACAAGTTTTCTTTGGGTCATCCTAGCCTTGAGGTTGTTCGTAGATTCATGTCTAATTTATGATTTATTGAAGGTTTTTTAGTTGAGCTACTTGATTCTTGCATGCACTGAGAGTTCGTTAGGGTTGTAAAGCTCTTATGAACTAGTCCCGAGGCTAATCAAAAGGAGGGGGTGAATTGCATATTTAAAAAATTTCTTCAACTAAAAGAAAATCTGTTTATATATTGCAGCAGAAACAAATTAAACCCTTAGAATAAATTACACAACAAACACTGTTAACCTAACATGTCGCTTTCGTGATAATGGTGGCTACTACGTTACACATATCATCGATGATGAGGTTTGCGAGTTCATGTTGCTGGAAGGTAGAAGTTATACTATTGTTGTGTACGTTAATGTTGAAGAAATAAATTATGTCGATGTTGCTGGTCTATCAACGAAAGCATATATGTGAGTATTTAGAACCTTATTTTATAATAATTTAGTGGTTAAATTCTTAATTAATGGATGCCCCTTAATCAAATTTATTTTAACCAGTTCTGACCTATGGTATGGTGGAGGAGTAAGTACAATACATGTGTAAAATGAGTTTTATGGTCGGCTTAATTTGTCGGAGCGATCAACTTTCGTTCAATAATAGGTGCCTCCACGTCTACGTGTGAGTGAATGTCCAAGTTGGGCTAGAGCAAGTTATAGTACATTAAAGATAATCAAGCATCAATGTCATACATGTGGTACTCAAATCAAAATCGAAATGTAATATGCTAGAGGGATGTGAGATGGATAACAACGACATAGATTCATACAAAATTATAGATAGTGGTAGTATTGATTCATCACATAGTTGTAGTCAAACCTGAAATATATATAAATGAATCAATTAGAAATTATAGCAACAATAAAAATATTGGTATTGAATTCATTAAAGAACATGCAAGACGAAACCTAGCTGGATTAGATTCGATGGTTGCAAACAATGGTTTCATAGAGACCATTCAAACTACCTAATAATGGGATGGTGATGATCAATGTGATGCTCTAATTGTGAATATAATTTGCTCAACATAAGAAAATATTCTTTCATAACTGTATGATGGTCAGATTTTTTATAGTAAGGAAGACCTCCAGGCTGCAATAAACAGTTGGTCAATTACACATAATGTTCAGTACATAAATTCAACTTCCAACAAAAGTCGTCTCATTTTTTTTATACCAAACATAACAATCTGCATATGTCATATCCTTGACAATTACATGCATCACGAAATAAAAGTCTAGGTGATCTTTGGAATGTAGCAACTGCAGGTCATCCACATACATGCACACAACCTATTATAGATGTTAGGTATCACAATTGCACATCTAAGTTTATATGTAGGCACATCATGCAAATTATAAGACAATAAATTGATATGAAGCTAAAGGAGACAATTGCAAGAATTGAGTCGAAGTTGGAAATAAATATTTCATATATGAAGGTGTGGAATGCACGTAGAAAAGCCATCGAAGTAACTTTTTGTAGCTATGAGCATTCATATCATTATCTCATATGTTTTATGGAAGTTATATGTTTGTCCAA